AGTTGCCCAGGCGGGTCTCGAACCTGCGGGCTCAGGCAACCCACTCACCTCAGCCTCCCAGAGCACGGGATTATGGGCTGAGCCACTGAGCCTGGCTCCAAAACAACTTTTTAAATGGCTCTTTATCTTCTGATAAATAAACCATAATTTACTTAACCTTTTTTTCCCTGTTACATAATGTTTGGTGAATGTCTTTACACATAAGATTCTTGTCTCATACATTCATTAATTCAGCAAATGTTGAACATGAATTGTGTTCCACGTACTGTGTTAGACACTGGGGACACAAAAACAAATGAGAAATTCTTGATTATTAGGGGAAGGTAGTTTTGCATACGGGTACATGTGATAAAACTATAGGTTTTAAACAAGAACTCTGAGATTTAATGGAGGTAAACATCCAAAGAAGGAAGTGATCAATTGATCAATTGTATGGGAGGGGTAGAGTAGTCAGAAAAGGCTTCATAGATGAGATCATTTCTAACCTCAAACTTGTAAGATGAGCTAGGTGTATTCCAAGTAGAGGGCACTGCACAGCCAAAGGATTATCAGCTTGAAATAAGTATGGTAAGATGGATAACTACAGGTGTTTTCAGAATAGCAGGATTGCTGGTTGGGAGCTGTGATATGGCGAGAGCCCAGGTAAACTGGGATGCTCACGGAGAACCTTATATGTCATACTTATGAATTTGAACCTTGTCTTACTGTGAAGTCATTAAAATATTTTGGCAGGAAAGTGACATGGTGAACTTTTATCTTAGAAAGATCTTTAGAGCAACATTTGGAAAAGAGATTGAAGGAGACAGTGGATGAATTAGAACTGTAGTGGTCCAGGCTAGAGATGATGATAAGAGTAGCCGGGCTCGGTGGCTCAACCTGTAATCCCGCACCTTTGGGAGGGTGAGGTGAGTGGATTGCCTGAGCCTGCGGGTTCGAGACCCGCCTGGGCAGGGAGACCTCATCTCTACAATGAATAAAAAAAAATCAGCCGGGCGTGGCAGTGCATGCCTGTAATTCCGGCTACTTGGAAGGCTGAGGCGGAAGGATCGCCGGAGCCCAGCAGGTTGAGGCTGCGGTGGCCGGAAGCGGCCACTGCACTCCAGTCTGAGTGACAGAGTGAGACTCCAACTCAAAAAACAAAACAAAACAAAACAAAAAGTTATAGTAGGAATAGAGCCAAGGAGACAAATATGAGAGTTCGTAGAAATAAGAGGACAGTGAAGTGGAGAAGTTAAGATGATTTGCAGGTTTCTGGCTTGGCTGAAGATATTCATTAATATAAAGTTTGAGGGAGAAGTGGTGAGTTTGAGATCATGGTTACATATCTCCTGTTATAGTCATAGTTTTTTATTGCAAATATTTGTTTTATTAATATTTTCCCTTTAAGGTGGTAATTGCTGTGAGTATACAAACTTGACCATGCATTTCACTCCTGTATTCTTGACTTCTAGCCTTATATCTGGTAGAGAGTAGGCGTTTAGATATTTGCTGAATGAATAAGGAGTCTTAGTGGAGATGCTCAATAAGCATTTGGTCTGATATTTGCTTCAGTAGACTTCCAGAAGTGTGTTATTAGTTGGTCAAAGGGTGTGAGCAATGAAAGATTTTTCTCCTTCTTCCTCATCATTTTTTTTCCCTCTTAATTCTCTTGAGTCTGCATGCTAGGGAATCCTGCAACAGTTTTAACTTTTCAACAAAACCTATACTTGATTATTAATTTTTTTTTGAGTTGACATCTCACTGTCACCCAGGCTGGAGTGCAGTGGCACGGTCATGGCCACCGCAGCCTCAACCTGCTAGGCTCAGGTGATCCTTCTACCTCAGCCTTTCAAGTAGCTGGAACCACAGATGCACACCACCATGTCCGGCTAATGTTTTGATTTATTGTAGAGATCAAGTTGCTCAGTCTGGTCTCGATCTCCTGGGCTCAGGCATCCTTTCACCTCTGCCTCCCAAAGTGCTGGGATTACAAATATGAGTCAGTATACTGAGCCAAATTTTTTTTTAAGTCAAAAAATAAAAAAATATGCAAAGTAAGAAATGAAGGTTCTTTGCCTACTTCTTGAGGAAACCCACTATTAAAGAGTATGGACTATATCGTATCTATTAAGATATAGTTGTATCTTTTTCTCTCTGTATAAAAAACTATAAATACATATATCCACATGTATTTTTTTTTTGAGTCAGAATCTCACTGTGTTGCCCAGGCTGGAGTACAGTGACATGCTCACAGCCACTGCAGCCTTGACCTGCTGGGCTCAGGCGATCCTTCCGCATCAGTCTTCCAAGTAGCTGGAACCACAGGCACATGCAACCATGCCCAGCTAATTTTTTTATTTATTGTAGAGGTGAGGTCTCGCCATGTTGCCCAGGCTGTTCTCGAACCTCTGGACTTAGGCAATCCTCTCACCTCTGCCTCTCAAAGTACTGAGATTACAGGTGTGAGCCACCACGTCTGG